TGCTTTTTTTTTCAAGCAGAAAATTGCTATTCGAACTTCTTCTTATTCGGGCAATGAAACATCTGTTCCATTGTAATCAATTGGGAATCGGGTTTGCCAACTCTTGGTGTTTTATCTTCACTACCATTCAATAGTACGAGCCTCCATCAAATATGCGGTTCACACCATAATTACACACGACATGTCTTTTATCATGGAACACTCCTAAGTAAGGTCCAATTTAAAAAAATTCTTCCAAAAAATAATGCTCCCAAAAGAGCTATTCAGAGTTCAGCTGGTACTAGTTTCATTCACCATTGGGTACAAAATTCCTCAAATACCTACACACAGTTTTTAGCACTTGAAGTTTTCTGCGAAAATTATATTTTGTTTGCTATAAGCGTTATATAAATTGATTATAACTTTGGTCTGAAGTGCAAGCATATGTGTGAAGTGGAATTTATCTCTTCCACTATAATATACTATATAACCCACTTCCACAATAAATCTATTCATATCCGTCTGTTCGAATACTTGGGTTAGAAAACTGTCTAATAGATTAGTTTAACACTAAACAACACCTACAGCTACAACATTCCAAATCCCCCTCCACCCTTTTCACCGGTTCGAACTCCATACGAAAGTCGATGGCGTAAAAATTTTGATAGTTAACAAAGTAACTGAGAGTCACATTCGAGAGCCTGTAATCCTCACTTCGCATACGACTGAAGCTGCCATAAAAGTACAGAGCCGTAAAAAAATCTCAAATCGTTAGCCGGCAGTACCTGAAGAAAATAGAGAGAATCGTTGCTGGCAACAAATACGGTGATCGGTCGTACGGTCGTAAATTACGTGGTCCAGCGAGATTAAGATCAAGAAGCTACAAACATGTCAGAATACCGTTCTCAGAACCGTGACAGAAAATCTTCTTATGTCATGGTAGTGTCACATGCGCAGTAAAACATGCTAGTTAAAAAGCATTATGACGTACGTATTGACAGACTTGAGAGTTCGTCAACACCTTTATGAACTCTCAACTTAATTTCTACATATCCAGACTTGATCGATTGATTAACATCACCCACTCATAGAAAAGTTAGTTTTGACTTAGATGATGCCTAATTAGTATTTCCATCGTACCTTGCAACACAAATTGCAACGTGTGACCGGGTCTTGCGGTAATTAAATAATTAAAAACAAAAATTAAAATTAAATTCAATTTTCCAACAGATAATTTTCGCACAGAAAAACGTTTTATTACTGTATCAAGAAATAGAGCTCCAAAAAATAATAATTAAAAAAAAATCTGATCAAAATTTAATTAATTGTGCCCATGATTTTGAAAGTGGTATAAGTCAAAAATTTTAAAAATCTACTTTATCAGCTTTTACTTGTCAAATCTTAATAAAATAACANAAGACACGTGCCAAAAGTGTGATTCGATAAAACTAAAAATTGAATCATCCAGTAATGAGGACGAAAAGTTGCATCTTATGGAAATTCATGATTCACATCTTAAAAGTGCCGAACAGGCTAGAAAAAGTTTAAAAGATGACATACAATAACAAAAGAAAAACGTAAAGATATGATGGCTCTACTACCCTATATTCCATCAATTTTTCACAAACACTTTATTTCTCTGAATACTAATGAATAATTTACGTTGTCACAATGAAATGAGTTTTAATAAAATGTTAATTACTAATAAAATTGTTTCATTTTTGGTATAAGTCATTTATAAAGTCATGAAGTTAATTTTGAAAGTGGTCCAAGTCATTTAAACCTTTCAAAACCACATTTTCTTTTAAAAATGGCAATAAATTTCACAATCATAATAGGTACTTGTTTGTTGGGACTACTTTAATGTCGAAAAATCATAATCCATAATGCAAGAATATTTTTTAATCCTTTTAAATACAAAACTCTAAATATCTCGAAAAAAAAAAAAATATGACTTATACCACTTTCAAAATCATGGGCACAATTATAGTGATCTTCCCAGAACGATAAGTAAAAATATAAAATTATTTATTGTAATATTTTTCATTAGTTTTTAATTTAAAAATTTTAAAAAAAGAAAAATTTTAAAAACGAGTCCATAAATTTAAAAAAAAAATACAAAAAATATGAGAAAAAAGTGAAATGAAATTAATAACAAAAAATTTTGTAAAATAAAAAAAACAAAAAAAAAAAAAAGAATAATAAAAATGATAAAATCTAAAAATTCAAAAATCTAAATATAAATAAAAATAAGTATATATTGTTATAGTCACTGCACACCTAGATATAAAAATAAGAAAGAAGTATTAAAAAAGAATTGCCAAAAAAAAAAAAATAAAAAAATTAAAAAAGTAAATTAAAATATTAAAAATGAATCCGAAACATTAACAAAAAACGAAAAAAATGAAAAGTACATGTTCTTATGGTTATTACATATCTAGAAAAAAATAACTAAAAAAATAAGAGTAATTACAAAAAAAAAAAAAATGATTAAAAAAAAAATTATAACTAAAAATTAAACTAAATATATGCATACATATCCAAGTACTACATACTTATTTACAAAGATGATATATTATTTTAAATAAATTTTTTCGAATAAATTTTTTTGAATAAATTTTTTCGTTAAATCAAGTTTTTTAAATTAACTTTGAATCACTACAGAAAAACAAAGAACTTGAAATAATATTATATATACTGAGGTATATGTACTTATGTATATAAGAAAAACTCTCCACGAAATATTAAATTTTAATTTTAATTAATAAATTTTCTCACAAAGCCAAACAAAAATTATCACAAATCTTTTCAGCTTCTACTTTTTTGTGCAAAACAAATGGAGAACATAAACATAAAAAAAAAAAACAATAAAAAAATCAGCATTCATTCCTCTCGTTGCCACACCGACGAGGCGTACAATTTCTAGTTAGACGCGCAAAAAATATTAAATTTGCATTATGTATGGCCGATTATTGGAAATAACCAATTGACCATAAGCTTCATAGCGTAATAACTACTAGTAACTTTTACTTCTTGCACCGTTAAGGAGTTCGGCGCAACAGGTTAAACAGGTTCTAGTACGCAGCACAAGTATTGGCACAACAATTACAGCAACAATTTGCAGACAAATAGCATAGCAATATTAACGCAATCAAGTTTAACAACAATAAAATGCCAATTTTTTTCAGTTGTTGTAAGAGAAACTATTGTATGAACAATTACAACAACAACAACAACAACAACATTTTAGAAAAAAGGAGTTTAAAATGAATATGACAACAAACAACAGTCAATTTAAAAAAAATATATATATATATGTGTAAATAAGTATGTAGTGGACGTGTATGCATATATTTATTTTTATTTTTAGTTGTATTTTTTAGTTTAATAATTTTTTTTAATATTTCTTATTTTTTGTTATTTTTTATCCAGATATATAATAACTATGACAACATGTTTTTTTTGTTCTATTTTCGGATTCATTTTTAATATTTTAGTTTACTTTTTAAATTTTTACATGTCTTTTTGATAATTTTTTTTATGTTTTTTCTTATTTTTTTTTTGTATCTTGATATGCAGTGATTATAACAACATATACTTATTTTTATTTATATTTAAATTTATGTATTTTTGAATATTTTTTCTTATTTTTTAAGTTTTTTTTTATTTTAAAAAAATTTTTTTTTTTAATTTTCTATTATTATTTTTTTTTGCGGATTTTGCGGATTCGCTTTCAAAATTTTCCTTTTTTTAATTTTTACATATTGTTGTTTTTAATATTTTATTATTTTTTATTTTTTATCTAGTTCACTGCATAACTTGATTATAGGTTTGATTTTTGAATTCATTTATTTCTTTTTTGTGTTTTTCTTATATTTATAAATATTTTTTTGTCTAGATATACAATATCACATACATACTTTTTTATTTATATGTGTATTTTTTTAAATTTCTGATATTTTTTTAACTTTTTTTATTTTTTTTAATTGTTTTTAATTTTTTTTTTGAATTGTTCTTAATTTTTTAAGTTTTTATTTTTATTTTTTTAAGATATTAAGCTTTTAGTTACTTTCTTTTACCTTTTTAAGTTTTTATTTTTTTAATGTGTAATATTTCTTATTTTTTTATATAGATATGCAGTAACTATAACAACTTATGCATATTTCCATTTTTAAATTTTTTTTAACTTTTTGCATTTGTTTTATTTCATTTTTTAATTTGTCTTTTTTTTTAATATTTTTTTCGTTAAACAAATAAAAAATCATGTTTTATTAACGTTGTTATTTTTTTTTTAAATTAGTCATTATTTTGTTGCTGTTAATTTTATAGCTTTAATTGCGCTTTTACACCATTAGTAAAAACGACATTCCGATTAGCCTTGACGTTTATTTGTTATAGTTGATAAAGGTTTTTTTAATTTTACTATTATTATTTTTTTTTTGTAATATATTTTCTTAACATTTTTGCTTACTTGTTGCAATTAGCGGACACGTTAAGTTTTTAGAACAAGAAAAAGTGACTAAAATAGTAAAAAAAAATGTATATACATTCAAACATACGTCTAAATTTTTTACATATGTATGTATGTATGTGTGCTGCAGATCACGGCATTGACTTCAGGCTGTCAACTTTATTGTACATACATATGTACATATATTTAATCTTTCATAAATTTTTATTTAGGAATGTTTGTATATACATATATCCATATTTTATGACATTTAACTTTATTACGAAATTCTTCTTTAAACTTAAGCGCCCGTCAAAGTTTGTGCTAAATTTTTTTTTTAATCACTTTTACCACGTATATCAGTATTTATGTGCTTAATTTCGTCTGACGTGCGAGCCTCTTGCTTTTTCGTACCCTTGAAATGCCTTAAAAGGCCTGTGGGCAGACACACACACACGTGTATTATGACATGTACTTGTGTGCATGCGAAAATTCCAATTAAACATATTTATACATTTTACATATAAAATATAAATTTACATATTTTCATTCACACTTTAAAAATACTAACTTGTTTTTTAATATTATTGCTTTTGTTTTTGTTCGATTTTATTGTTTTTTAAATACACAAATTCATTATTTATAAAATTTGTAACACCATCACAAACGGAAATAAACGGAAACACATCAAAAAAAGATTAAATATGTAAATAAAAAAAACACAAATAAACAAACAAACAAACTCGGTCCACACCAAGTTGTCAACCGTCTCAGCCGTCAGCAGCCGTGTTCAAACGACGACTGTTTCACAGCACGAAAAACTACAGCTCTTTTATTGTATTTCGGCAAGTGTTGATGGAGTTGAGCCGGAAAAGCCCTAACCAACCAACCAGCCAGTCAGCCACCCTCACACATATAACACATATGTACATACATATTATATGTATTAATGTGAATATGCACTCATAAAGATTACAAAAAAGTTAAAACTACATACAACAACATGAAAAAAGGCTTAGAACGCTACTAAGCGCTAGCGAGATACTAAATTCGAAAAAAAAAGTAAATTAAAAAAAAAATTAAAGAAAAAACAAAATTACTACTAAATGCATAGAAGCGCTCATAAAGTAGTAAATTCGCATATTTGTATGTACATACACGTATGCACGCTATCCAACAACCGAGTTTACGGCCGAAATTGTGTGCATGAGCGCTAAAATATACATTTATGCATATATTTATATTGTATATGTGTGTTTGAAGCATGTAAGCACGATCGCTCATTACTTAGTACACGCTCTAAACTGTCAAGCCATCATAAAGTTCGAGCCGTAGCCCAGGTTTTGTCAGCTCGTGCTCCAACTACTCATATAACTGTTTGTTTAAACGACTCTCCAAGTACTCAATACTCTACCGGTTACTCGTGCGGTTAGAGTGCACAGTAATTGTTAATACAATAAATACATACATATGTATGTATAATATTTACATATACTCGTAAATATATTTTGCTATAGAACTAAAGTTTTACAAGTTATTTTAATTATTTTATTTATTTGATTGTGCTCATGGGTTTTTAGTTTTTTTTATTTTTTTTTATTTTTCAATTTTTTGTTTGTTTTTTTGTTTTTATTTTTTTTTTTTTGTTTTCGTCAGCGTCAATTTGTCTTAATTTTTTTGTCAATTTTTTCATTCGTTCATTGGCGCGTTTAATTGTTAGTAAAACTGTAAATATTTATGTACATATGTACTATATGTATCGTTGCAATTCATTGCGTGTGACATCACAAAATATTTCAATTACAAATTGATCAATGAAAATTTTCAGTAATTTTTCATACGTATAATACATACATACATACATATGTACGTACACGCGTATGTATTAAATTTCGTATTTCTATCGTTTTGTCATTTTTCATTGTTTCACTTTCAGTTTGTTGTTTAAATGCAAAGTGCTAATAAATTAATAAAAAACAGCACTCTGCATGTCTGTATTTGTATAGAAATTTCATAATATTCAGACGTTAACAAGAGAATTTGCAAAACACTTATATAAATATTTGGAGAATCGTAATTTGAAATTTGTGCATATTTCTCGGGGGGAATTTGGCTTAACCCTTGACGTGCCGAATCTAGGATATGGTGCCATACATATACTCGTCTTTAGCGAAATCGGGGAGGCGAAAACCCAGTAATTTCGGTAAATTTTTGACGTTTAAGGCACAGTGTTGTCTGCAGCCATAAATACTTAAAGTCGAGTTTAAGGCTTTAAACTTTGCATAAATGATAATTAAATAACAGCCAGATCGGGCTACTATATCATATAGCTGCCATAGAATGCTAGGTCTGAAATCAAGTGTTTCAATGGAAATGTTTTTGTTTTTAATTATATTGCGACTATCAGGTCTATTCTGTCGAGGTAACAAAATTTACTTTGGTATTAAAATTTACTTTGGTATTAAACTTTAAATTTCAGTAAATTTTGTTACTAATTCATATTCTGAGTTCACTGTCACCCTGTAAATTTTGTTACCAGCGAAAAAGGAGGTAACAAACAAACCAACTGTTTGATTTTGTGTTGTTAGTTTGAGAAAAACCGAAAGGGATAGGCATATTCTAGGGCTGGAATTCATTGAAGATGAAGAAAAAAGTGCAAAAAGGCGTATGCTAAGAAGTTTTCGAGACAAAAAATAGCTCTTTTAATTGGGACGATAGCGATTTCATTCAGCTTTCTTTATTGTCGCTTAAGCATATTTTCCAAAATTAGATTCAAATATTTATGATTTAATAAAGAAATTAATAAAACTTATTTATTTTATTGTGCACCGTCTTCCATTTCGATGTGTGAATAATCTTTTTTTTTACTTTACCAACTGTCAAATGTAATTTAACAAGGACGAGAAAACCAGTGCTGCCAAAGCTTTTTCAAACAATGTAACCAGTTCGCCAGAATACCAAATTCAATTTCGGGTGTTAAAAAAAAGTAACAAAATTAACTCAACCGGTAACAGTGAGACTAGGCCTGTATATGAGGAGACAAATTGGTGAGTTTATTGAAATTTTTTTTTTTTTAATTTAAATAAATTAATAACCACTTTTAATTGCAGGGAGAGTTGCAAATTTTGTCAACAATGCAAACATTATTTTAAATGAAAATAATATTTATACTTTGATGTGCATGATCCAATTGGGTTGGCGCAAAAGAAACCTGCGATTTTTTTAAAGAAAGTAAATACCTTTTTTTTATAACGAACTTTAATGAATTATGTAATATCCTTTTTGTTGGATGACCACTCGCTATCTTTCCGACCGCATCATTATTCCACGGTCATAGAACTTTTGGTCTTTATCTTCAAAAAACTGAACCCAGCTATTTTCGAAAGTTTTACCATTTAATGAGTTCTACAAAGACCTAAACGAATGGTAGTCTGACGACGCAAGGTCACAGCTATTTGGTGGATGCATCAACAGTTCCCAACCAAGCTCTCTCAGTTTTCAGCTAGTGGCCAAAGATGTGTACGGTCTAGCATTGTATTGGTGGAATATGACACCTTGACGATTGACCCATTCCGGCCACTTCCCGTTGATGGATGTATGCAATTTGTCCAGTTGTTCACAGTGTACATTCGAATTAATCGTTTGGTTCCTTGGAAGCAGCTCAAAATGTATCACATCCTTCCAAACCCACCAAATTGACAGCATAATCTTCCTTTGGTGAATATCAGCCTTCAAAGTGATTTGTGGCGCTTCATCGTGCTTGGGCCAAGATTAACGTTATTGTAAACAATCCAGTTTTCATCACCAGTTATGATTTGCCTCAAGAATGGATCATATTCATTACTTTTAAGATAACATGTCCTAACCACCGTAGCCGCCGTCCCTTGATTCGAAAACTTCAGTATTCCCCATTGCAAAAGCGATCAGATGTTGTTGTCGTTAAAGTCTCTGTACCATATAGAAGTGTGTCTTTATTCTTCGAGAGAGGATTTTAATACTCAATTAGCTACTTATCCAAGGGTGACTCAGCTTTGTATTTCAAGGCTGGCATTGCTGTTGGTCTCAATAATGGCACCAAAATAGACGTCTCACTGGAGAGGGATAACTATTTGTTTCATGACAAGTGATATATTTCGTCCTCGTTCAATACCAAGACCAAAACGTTTCGTTTAGGCGCTGTTGTTGCGGCCAATGATGTCAATATCATTGTCGTACGCCGAGAGTTGGACACTCTATTAGGTGGCTTTACCATCTCTATTAACAACACGAGCAGTTAAGGAGCCACTTTGTTTGAAACCTTGTTAGGTATCGAATGGCTCGGAGAGGTTCTTCTCGATCCTGACGAAGCTTTTAGTGTTGTTTATCGTACATTTACATAGCCCTATACGTTTTACGGGTATAACAAAAGTGGTATCTCTATTTCGTACTGCAGAAGCTTGATTTAAAATGACCGAAAAATTGGTGTGTATCGTTTCTCTTTTCCAAGATATAGCGCCCGGTGAGTTTCTGGTCAATGCTTGATTTAGCATGTCGAAAGCCAAAAGTCCAATCAGTTTGTTGGCGGTGGGTTTAAGTCTTTCACAAAATAAGTTCGATAGGAAATTATATGCAATATTGCAGAGGCTTAAGATATTGCAAGGTTATTGCCACAGACTGTGAGGTCCTCCTTTTTTGTGAGTTAAGAAGAGTACACTTAAGTTCCAATTGCCGGGCATACCATCAGCCGACCATATTTTGCAAAGAGCCTTTTTCAGCTCTATTTGAATAGCTCGGCCGTCTAATCATTGGCCCCGCCACTATTTTTCAAGCGGCCAAACTCTTCATAGGCGTGCTATGAAGCATCTGCCACATCGTCATCGTTCCATAAATACAGCATACTCTAGGCGTCAGTCGCGAGATCATCTTTCTGGATCACAAAAAAGGCTGAAAAGAAGTATCTACATAACCTCTTATTATAGTTAGTTTTAGTCTCATGTCAAAACTCATAGAGAATTTCATTATGCTAATTTAATTATTCCATAAATAAGAGCGTTTGTTCTCTATTCCGATAATAAATGGGAAAATGGGAAAATAAAAAAAAAAACATCCAAAAAACAAAGTTATCAACGACAGAAATATCTTGTGCTATAATTGTTATTATTAATTTGCGCTGAATACCGTAGAAATACAGTAATTTTCGTCAATTCATCTGTAACACGCCTATCAATATACATTTCAATTAATAAATTTGCATAAAGACTGGGACACACACGCGAATAAATTGATCAACAAAACAAAACAAAAACAAAAACAAAAAAAAAAGAAACGGCGCGTAGTCTCTCCGTCTGTCTGTATGAATGTATGTCTGTTGCTTTAGGACACAACTGGCATACGACGTCAGATTGTGTGTGTGTGTGTATGTGTGTGTGTGGGACTGAGTAGTGTCAAGTTGCCTATCCAAGTGGATTTCTATCATTTAACGACAAACGTCATTGCGAACCTTGTACGCGATATCAAACAATAACAACAAAAAAAATTTTTAATTATTAATACTTAAAATAAAGCATCCTTTTCAGATTAATTGATATGTTAACATCCATTTAAGAAATTTCGAGAACTGGAATTTTTCGGTTAATTTTATTCAATTGTTGCTCATTTTTAACATTTTTTTTTCTTTTTCATTGCTAATAGTTTCGAATTGCACATCCTCAAATAATGAACGTAATGACAGACAAATTTGAAATAAAATACTTGATATTCTTATAAAAATAAAAGAATATACATGCATATGTACATATGTATGTATATGTAAAACATAATTATTTTTACAAATAACTTTT